CTCGCTAAATCTAACCTAATTTCCATCTTTATATTATAGCAGAATTATAATTCAAACAACAGTAAATTGTCGACCTTGATTACAACTAATTGATATTTCTTTATGTAAATGTATCACAATATCAATATATTTTACTAATTAACTAGTAATACATTTTAAGTTTAGATTTTTAAGTATTCAAAATAAAAAACATATCTATAGCAAAATATGATGGTGAGATATGCTTATATTAATTTTAAAAATTGTATTAATTTTCTATATTTATGTATAACAATTAGATGTCCCATAATATGTGAATAATCTTCATTAATTTTCAGAAATGCCAGATATCAAAGTTACACCGCTTGGTGCTGGACAAGATGTTGGACGTAGTTGCATCCTTGTTTCTATGGGAGGTAAAAACATCATGCTGGATTGTGGAATGCATATGGGATTCAATGACGAGAGACGTTTTCCAGACTTCTCCTATATAGTCCCAGAGGGACCAGCAACCAATTATATTGACTGTGTCATTATTTCTCATTTTCATTTGGATCATTGTGGTGCTCTTCCATACTTTACAGAGATGGTAATATAATATTATAAATCATGATAAATTAATTTTTACATTTACATTTTGTTATCTGTGATTTATTACTTACTAACGAACAAAAAAAATAGGTAGGTTACACTGGACCAATTTACATGACACATCCGACCAAAGCTATTGCACCAATTTTGCTGGAAGACATGAGGAAGGTTGCAGTTGAACGTAAAGGCGAGAGCAATTTTTTCACATCACAGATGATAAAGGATTGTATGAAGAAAGTTATCGCTGTCACGCTTCATCAATCTGTCATGGTCGATCCAGAATTGGAGATAAAGGCATATTATGCTGGACATGTTCTTGGAGCAGCTATGTTTTGGGTCCGCGTAGGGTCGCAGACTATTGTATATACAGGGGACTATAATATGACGCCAGATCGGCATCTAGGTGCCGCATGGATAGACAAGTGTAGACCAGATTTATTAATATCAGAGTCGACGTATGCTACTACGATTAGAGATTCCAAAAGGTGTAGAGAACGAGATTTTCTCAAGAAGGTTTCAACTTATTATCTATAAAAATTTGCTAATTTCTTTTAAATAGTTTCGAATATATATACATGTTTTAGGTACACGAATGCATCGACAGAGGTGGAAAGGTGTTAATCCCCGTATTCGCCCTTGGTCGCGCTCAAGAATTATGTATATTACTGGAAACATATTGGGAAAGAATGAACCTAAAAGTACCCGTTTATTTCGCTCTTGGTTTGACCGAGAAAGCTAATAATTATTATAAAATGTTTATTACCTGGACTAATCAAAAAATTAAGAAAACGTTCGTACAACGGAATATGTTTGACTTTAAACATATAAAACCGTTTGATAAAGCATATATCGATAATCCAGGTGCAATGGTGGTATTTGCCACGCCGGGAATGTTACATGCCGGTCTCTCGCTTCAGATTTTTAAGAAATGGGCGCCTAACGAGTCTAACATGGTTATCATGCCAGGTTTCTGCGTACAAGGCACTGTAGGTCACAAGGTTCTAAACGGCTCACGGAGAATAGAATTCGAAAATCGACAAATCGTGGAAGTGAAAATGGCCGTAGAGTACATGTCTTTCTCCGCTCATGCCGACGCAAAAGGAATAATGCAGTTAATACAGTATTGCGAGCCAAAAAACGTTATGCTGGTACACGGTGAATTCGCTAAAATGGAATACTTAAAAGAGAAAATTAAACAAGAATTCGGTGTTAGCTGCTACAATCCCGCGAACGGTGAAACCTGCATTATCACGACCACATCCAAAGTCCCTGTGGATGCTTCTCTAGCATTGTTGAAAGCTGAAGCAAAGAGATACTCAGCACTACCACCTGATCCAAAAAGACGAAGACTGCTTCACAGTGTTCTGATGTTAAGAGAAGATGGTGTCTGTCTTGTGGATGCAGATGAGGTGATCTGAATCATCCTTATTACTTAAAATAATAATTATTCTATTGATTCAGCAGATTGATTATTATTTTTGTATCTTACTAGGTTGCAAAGGCTGCAGGTATCACAAAACATGTAGTTAGATTTACATCTACTGTACAAGTGAGAGATCCTGGTCCAGCACATGCTACAACCTTAAAACTATTGCAGCCACTAAAAGAAAGATTATCAGGATGGACAGTCCAATTAACGGATGGTTCTATATCAGTCGAATCTGTTTTGGTGAAAGTAGAAGGAGATGAAGATGATCAAAAAAGTGTTTATGTTTCGTGGACTAATCAAGATGAAGATTTAGGTAGTTATATTCTCGGATTTCTGCAAACAATGCTGAATTAAAGAAAACGAGAAGATTGCTGTCGAACAAACAAATTTCGACCTGTGATACCGATATATGGTTTGCTATTATCATTATTAAGAGAATGATTAAATCTATTTCATATCTTGATACTAATTGAGATAAAAATCTATTTTCCAACAACTGTCAAATATTTAGAGGACAGTTACAATGTTATTTTTTTATATTTGTAACGTTTGTATTTACCTGAATAGTATATATATATATATATATATATATATATATATATATATATATATGAAACTGAAAATTTTGCAATATTTCTGATCGTTCTTCGAGAGTATTCATTTTTTCTCACTTGCATCTTAACAAGTTGCTGATTATATATCTAACTCTGTTGAAACTGTTGAAACTTTCTCTTATACAATCATTTCAATGTTTTATTAAAAATAAATAATATAAAATAATACAAACAATAATGGAAGATTGTAAAAGTCGATTATCAATCAACTGAGAAAGGAAGAAATTGCAAAAATTTTCTAATTCTGCTATATCATGAAAATAATTATTTAGCTATAATCAATAATATAGTATCGTTATTTTAAAAATGATAGCTTATCGATAATGTAATCCAAGATGTAAAAATTGATTTTGTCTTGTCGAAGGTTTTATTAAATTTGATCTGAAAGTGTAAGTTTTAGAATTATTACTTGAATTAATCTTATAGGAAATGAATCAAAATGTATATTATATATTTTGGTTATATAATATATATGTATATATAAGAATCAATAATCATATTTATTTAAAAATGTTATTCCTATTATTGTTCATAAAATGAATAATTTATCTAGATTATACAAACATAATATTCAGCATCAAATAAAACAGTAAACTTTTATTAATTATGAATATGCTTTCTAGATACAAAACGGTAAATAAGTACGCAGTGTACTAAACATACATGCCTTTTACAAAACTCAGTACAATAACTCTATTTCTTTACGCAACCAATCGATTACACAGGTGAACAAAGAACGAATTTTTTAAGTGTACAATTAATATCTAACACAGTACTTTTAAACATGCAAACAAGTATTTTAAAAAAATCTCATCTCCAACGAAGGAGTATTAATATTGTTATTACAATAACAATATGAAATATTTTGGCTTGTCCAATTAATAAATATTTAAAGCATAACCAAATAATGAACATAAATAATTGCAAACATCATCAGCTTTTTAAATGCCCCTAAAATCTTAACTTGAACTCGTTAAATGTGTTCTTAAATCTTATAATAAAGTCTATGTGAACTATATGAAAATCCATCTCATGTATGCAGTACTTGCTTTCAGTACAATCGTTGGGCATAAATTTATTTCACTTAACATTTGTATAAGACTGGCTCGTTCAAACTCTCACTTTACTTCATTATTGCACATGAAACGAATAACAAATTTGAACTTGTATATAATGGAATAACATGAAAATTGTTTTACAAATTTGGTGTATTGTATCCACTATTAATAACAAAAA